TCCTGGCAAGGATTGCTTGAAGGGCTTTCTAAGGGATGCTATAAGGGTACTATAAGCAGAATACGAAACCACCATTTAGGCTTCTGTGGTAGTCATAGACTTGTATCCTAGGCCTCATCTCAGGCGATGAGTACCCTAACCCACAAAAAGCTAACCCTTCGGTTGTGGTAGTAACTGTTAAACCCAAACCCCGATCCATAAAGTATTTTATACTATAACTATAAAATCATATAGGTATTTATTAAGGCCCCTGTATTACACCCTATGCACTAATACCCAGAGACCCTAAACCCAGCAACCCTAAACCCATGAACCCCTGCCCAGCCAGCCCCTAACTCACAGAAAGGCTCGCCTCCTGCGTGTTGAAGAGGAGGTCGCGATGTTGAATGCAGAGGGCCGTCAAACCAGGATGGCTTACCTCCGTCACCCTAAACCCTAAACCCTAAACCCTAAACCCTAAACCCTAAACCCTAAACCCTAAACCTGCCAAGGCTTTGCAAAGACCCCGGTCCGTCAGGGCTTAGGGTTCAGGGTTTGAGGATGAGGGCTTCGAGTCCAGAGTTCAGGGCTCAGGGCAAAGAGGTCGGGGTATGAGGCTCGGGGTCTCGAGTTTGGGGCTTAGGGTTTAAGTTTAGGGTTTAGGGTTTAGGGTTTAGGGTTTAGGGTTTAGGGTTTAGGGTTTAGGGTTTAGGGTTTAGGGGGGGGTTTGGGGTATAGCGATTTGAGGAGGTTTAGTCGCTATGGGTTTAAGGCAGGCGTTTCAGGACTTGGTGGCGAAGGGAGGAATCTCACGTCGTCTTCTGAGTTGCCCGAAAGCACTCCTTGATGCTGCTGTGATTCTGCAAGCTTGAAAGCCCTAAACCCTAAACCCTCAGACCCTAAGCCCTAAACTCCAAAAAACGCGAAAAGCCCTAAAAACCCTAAAAAACCCAAACCCTAATCCATGCTGGGGAAGCCTCTAATTGAACGGCCTACTTATTGCTTCTCCCGTACTCGGACCTGCACCACGCCCAACTGGTCTTGTTGACTTTGCCGAACGGCGACTTCTTCTTATTATCATTATTACAATTATTATTACTACTATTATTATTGTTGTTATTACTACTATTCCTCTTCTTCTTCTTCTTCTTCGTACTCTTCTTCTTCTTTGATCCGGACGATCTCTTCACGCATCCGAAGGACTTCGAGTTCTGTATATGGGTAGTTCTCTAAATTAGGGTCGATTTTAAGTCCCCACTATAGTACGGCACCCTTATAAGAAAGACCTCAACGGGGACCCTGATTTAGAAAACCACCCATATATTGGATCCACCTTTGGAGCGGCGGCAACGGATCGTTAAACCCTGAGCCCCACACTGGCGTGTTCTGATCACCTGAACCTTTTGGAACTCTCACAAGACCTTTGCAAAGCCCCCGAAGCACTTGCAAAACCCTGACCCCTGAAACCTAATCCCTGAACTTTTGTCTGTAGGTGTCCTTTTGACATCCCAAGACCATCATGAACCCTAGCCGAAACAAAACCAACGCAATCCTGCAGAACCCTCATACCACCTTTATAAGAACCTAAACCCTAAACCCTAAACCCTCCCCAGAGAGCCCAATACCCCTTAAATAAGGAATATAGCTAAAACCTTAATATGAAGCTCCTTATAATTTACGCTATATTCCTCAATTCAGCTGTATTGGGCTCTCTGGGTCATCTTTATAAGACCCTGATGAACCTCTTTGAAACACGTACAAAACCCAATACAACGGGACAACCTCACGAGCCTTGTCCCCTGCGTCCCCGAGCTTGCCAGCGAGGTATCTTTCCCGAAGGTGCCTCGCAGTAGCTTCAGGGTTTGGAGTTCAGGGTTTAGGGTATAGGGCTTAGGGTTTAGAGTTTAGGGCTTAGGGCTTAGGGTTCAGGGTTTAGGGCTTAGGGCTTAGGGTTTAGGTTCGTGGTTTAGGGCTTAGGGTCTAGGGTTTAGGGTAGCTTTCAGGGGAGCCGCTACCCTCATGACGTGTCTTGGTCATCCTGAGGCAAATCATAATCATAGGGCTTAGGGCTAAGGCATGTAGAATGATAGTGACCATGCTGCCGATCATACTAGTCGTATTGATGACTGATAGCACGAATAGCAGCCACCGACACAGGCAAACAATAGAAACAGCGATAGTAGTAGTGATAGTTACAGGCGTAGTCGCCCCGCAGTACTTATCTCCACTTTAATCTTGGTACAGCCCAAAGGGGATACGCCCCCAAGGCCCAACATGAAAAGATCATTGTTAATGACTCCGTGGGCTTGTGTTTAAAACGGAAATAGTCCTAATAGTCCCTCAACAAAGCCCAGTGAACCCTAAGCCCCATGTTTCCCCGACGAGCCCGAAGCCAAAACCGTCCCGAACCTACAATGCACCCTATCAGCCATATTATCCCTATGCCCTTAGAGCCCTTTGATACCCATGCCCTAATGTAGGGGCCTTAATAATTAGGATAGGGTCTTAGGGTCTTTTATGGCACCCCCAAAAAATAATAGGTAATTGTTAATCATTAAGGGCCCTACATTAGACCCTCAACTCGTTGAACAGGAACCTTCTGCAAACCGTGGAGCCCGGGTAGGCGAAAGAGGTTCCTGAAACCACCCTAAACCCTAAACCCTAAACCCTAAACCCTAAACCCTAAACCCTAAACCCTAAACCCTAAACCCTAAACCCTAAACCCTAAACCCCAACCCTGTGAAACCCTCAACCGTCAAATCAAACCCGAGGTCTAAGGACCTAAGGACTTTAGGGCTTGGGTTTAGGGTTTAGGGCTTAGGGTTTAGGGCTTCGGGTTTAGGGTGCAGGGTTTAGCTTTCAGAGCTTAGGGTTTAGGGCTTTGGGTTTAGGTCTTTTTTAAAGGCGGGTTGTTTAGGGTTTTGAGTTTAGGGGTATAATATAAGAACCTGGTTAAGAAGCCCTGGGTCTTTATTCGGGTTCTTAGTAAGAAACCTTATCTATTCGGGGTTGTAGGGCCTACAGTAAGCCCCGAACATACCTTCCCCAACGATGAAGCTTTAAACCCTTGCGCAGCCTTAGACTACAAGCCTCTCTGTCCCACAAAAAAACATCGAACTCAAATGATCCCTTGCCCTTGTCGCAGAATCGAAATACCCTAACTCCCATGCCTCGTCGAAGGAACCCCCAACAACACACCCCAAACCCTAAACCCTGAACCCTAAAACCCTAAATCCCTAAACCCTAAACCCCTAAACCCTAAACCCTAAGCCCTTAAAACCCCACCGCTCAGCCCGAGCTCCTGTGGTAGCAGCGCAGCATGGGCAAGATTAGAGATGGCTTCCCCCTTCGCTCTGCCAGACAGACCTTAGGGGCTTTAGGGTTTAGGGTTTAGGGTAGGGGGTTTAGGGTTTAGGGTTTAGGGTTTAGGATTTAGGGCAGTTTAGGGTAGGGGGTTTAGAACTTCAGACTTGGGGGCGTCTGTCAACCAAGGTTTCAGCGTGACTTACGTCAGGTTCGG